GGGGGGATTGGGGGGAGGGTATTCTGAAAAGATTACATTATAATGTACTGATTTCTTAATCTCAATAACAACACCTAACTGCACTATTTGAGGGGTAAGATATTGCAGAAAAATGTTATGTTTTATTCTCTGCTCAGTTGGATTGGAGGTTATATCTGTAGTAAAGGTATGTATTTTGTATCCCATTTTCCTTCTTTAACTTAGCTACAATTGGCTTCAGAGCGCTGTGCTGTGGCGACCAGCAATGGAATATTATTTGTTGTATTATCCATGTGGTTGTTATATTTGCACTATGTAATGTTGATATACCTTGTAAATAACTTTATGTACGTTTTGTTCCTATCATTGTCCAGTGACACGTATTTGTGCTAAAGGTAAAATGCTAGGCTTATTTTTCTTTACATTTTGTCATGTTTCTATTTCCCAGGAGCCGTCACACAGGGATAGAGGAGCGCTGCCGGAGCTCATCCAAGAGGACATGTCCTTGATGAACGACTTTGAGCTACTCGGTTTGTGCAAACAGTATGAAGTAAGTCAATGATTACTGTTTGCCAAAGTCTTCGTCCAGACACTTTGTTGTGCATGTCGTGTGCTAAAAGTTTTCCAACTCTGTTATTTGTCCTAAGTCACTCTCAGATTCTTTTAGGTTCTAATTGCTTTTTTAAATTTACAATTCCTTATATGTATTACTGTCATGCTGGACATGGATGTTTTGTGGAGTTTACTTTCTGGTCTTTTGTTATTCCCTTGTACGAGAAGTGCTAGATACAGCTTTAGGGGCATGCACATTTGTGTCAGCGCCAACCGTAATCAAATGAACTGGGCTCTACTGAGCGATAAGGCCTGAAGGGTAAAATGTTGAACTTCAGTAGGTTTTAATTGTTTTTCTTATCTCTTGAAAGTTTGAAATTTTTGTTTTTATTTCAAGATTTCAATTGAAAAGGTACAACCTAACTCTTTTGTGTACTTTATTTTGATTTATTTTCGAGATGTTTGTGTTCAACCTGAGAGTAAAAGGGGAGAAAAGGGAATTTTGGCGTAGAAATCCTTTCTATTGACTCACCTGTCATTCTAAAACAGCCAGACAATCTGTAGTGTCATTATGTAACTGAGTCTTTTTCAATCTTTTTCTTAGTCTTATTTTAATATTTTATACATTTCTGTGGGAAAAATGTTTGGAATGTAAGCAAATTAGTGTTTTGAGGGCTGACTTGGGACTGATTGGTTAAGAATGGTAAGAATGATTTCTCCTAAAGCTCTTGCATTATTTGATGTAATATAGCAAGCTGTGTAATCGATTTTTACTCTACCAGATTTGATAATTGAGTGAGTTCACAAGTATTTTTAAAAACTGTGTTTTTAGTTGTTTTTTTTTTAGATAGTAGAAAATGCTCCAGACTAAACATTATGCTTTTTTCAAACAAGCTGTGGTCATCTGAGATTCTGGTTAGTAGATTTATTATGTCACCGACATTTTTATGGTTAGAAAGGGGCTCCGCAAGATTTCAGATCAATAGATGAAGACAAAGAAATTACAGAAATACTGTTTCAAAGTTGGAATATAGAAGAGGACATTTTTTTTAAAAGCAGTGTATAAACATAAATTTGTGGGTGGTTGGTGTGTGCACTAGTATTAGTATGGTTTGCTCCTTCTTTCCTATCAAACACATCTTTCGTACTTATCTGTCCTCCTTTTTTGTGTTACAGTTTGTTACTCTCTTGTTGTAACACCTCTAATCTTCAGCACTTAAATGACCTTATTGTGTTGTAAGTGCTGTAAAACTCTTACAAAAACTAAACATAAATTTTTATGGTCTCGTTTACTATATTCACAGAAAAACATTGGGAAGTTTATTCTGGATCCAAGTGTCATCACAGACTCTGGGAAGCTGCGGGTCTTGGACAGACTGCTGCCTAACATGAAAGAAAAGGTAAGCTAACTTTTCAATGTTTCGATATTATTGGCGGCTCAGTGGCTCCGCAGGCACCCCCCAGGCTACTACAAGGACCTCAGGAATTAAAGATAAAATAAAATGATAAGATGATACTTTATTGTTCCAGAGGGAAATATTTTTTGACTGTACAGGATCGAAAAAAACCCACATGCAGGTATACATAGAAATTAAATTATATATTATTACTCTCATTAAGCTTCAATATGAAAAGAATTTTTAAAGTAAAGCTGACAATAATGTACATATCATATCAGATGCATCTTTCGACCACATGCAGGAATTTATCACAAGACCCTTTGAGTTTTATAAATACATGTATATATTCAAAACAGCAATGTACATTGATGTTTATTCTGACAGTAACCTTGTACTTGATAGTAAAAAAAACTTCTTTTGTTTGTTTCTTTCTTTGTTCTTAGTAATCTTAGTGGTAGTATCTGCTGCTGTGTGGTCTTACATTTTGTGTGGAAAGAGATGTGATGGGTCTTTTATAATATTATCTTTTTAAATTTATTCTTTTATACTTTTTATACCTACTATCTTGTACATTTCATCAATTCTAGTAAATGGTTCGGTCAATATTTTCTTTGTCTTTCACCCTACAGTCTCCAGGCAAGCAGTAAATACAAATAGTTACACAATTTCGATTATAGAATGGTACAAAAGGGACATAATCTCATTATCTACATGAAAAGTTTTTAAATTGATCAGTCTTCCTGTGCCAGTTGTATAACTGATTATCATCCTGACTCAAAAATTAGTTGAATATCCATTTTTGATTGCATTGAAGCCAGAAAAGCATAAAAATTGGGTGCTTGAAAATAGCCTTATTGCTACACTTTTAAGTTGCCTTCTTGAGAATGGCTCCTATGCATTTTAGTTTTGTAGGTTTAACCAGTCTTAGGCAAAATTTATTGTAAACGAACTTGTAATTTTGAGAAATGATATGCAAATAGGACCAAGTCATAAACCTACGTCTTTGAATGAAGTTGTACATTGGTAGATTTGAGGTTAATCAAATTCTGTTTGTTTGTCACTGTCTTGTTATAACAAGACTTATGGCTTTTAAAAATTGAAAAAAGATATGTTAAAGCACCTGGCAATGAAGAGAAAAGAATGCTGTTGTGATACTTAACCACCTGCCCCCTCCCTCCCATCTTTCCCTCTGACAGGGCGACCGTGTTCTGCTGTTCAGTCAGTTCACCATGATGCTGGACATTCTGGAAGTGTACATGGAGCAGCGAGGCTACAAGTACCTCAGGCTTGACGGGCAGACACCTGTGCCTGACAGGTAAGATGATGAGCTTTTGGTTGGGATGACTCGCGGCGGTTGGGGGGGGATGATGGATAGACGGTGGGGAGGAAAAGGACGAGTGGTGATGTAATGACGGGGCAGGGGCCGGCAGGCAAACGAGGTGGCAGACAGGCAGACGGATGGAGAGACAAACGGGCGGAGAGATAGACGGATAGAGAGATAGACGGACGGAGAAATAGACTGATGGAGAGACAGATGGACAGGCATGGTAACAGACCGGTAGAGAGGAATACTTATAGAGAGAAGACTGATAGTGAGATAGACAGATAAGGAGGCAAACGGGCAGAGAGAGAAGAGAGACGATAGAGAGACAGACTGATAGAGAGACAGATGGACAGAGGGAGAAAGAGGGACGATAGAGAGACAGACTTATAAACAGAGATAGGAGGACAGAGAGAGAAAGAGGGACACAGAGACAAACTGGAAGAGAGACAGATGGAAAGAGAGATAAAGACTGCCAGAGAGACAGACTCGTAGTGAATCGAGAAGAAAAGACAGGAATGTACTACGAGCATGAAGATAGCGAAAGGTTTAGGGAAAAGGTTTAGGGCACCACTGGCATGATTGTTCTTCTTTTCTTTCTTTTTTGTCCGCTAGCGATTAAAACGTATTAAATCCCAAATGCGTTTATTTTTAATATATGTGGTATCGGTTGCGTGACAATGCACTCAAGAACAATATGGTCGAAATTTAATTTTTAAATGTTGACCAAAAGTGCAAGGAATAGTTTATAATGTAGATGCAATCGCCAAAGGAATTAATTATTGTTGGGATTTCTCTTTCTTCTGTAAACTTTTGCTCTCCAGACAGTATATTTTACTAGCCTGTGAATGATATGCTGTATCTCTTTGTCTTGCTAGCCTTCACCCTGCACTAAATAACCGTTATCCTGTTGATGTGTTTCCTTTTACTCCAATAACTAAATCTTGCTGGCAACTCCAACCCGTCATGTATCGAAATAATCTACCACCCGTGGTGCGCAGACAGAAACTCATCTATTTCTATCAGAAACATTGCACAACACTTTTAACGGACGTTTTACTAGCACTCTTTTGAACTGATGAGCATTTATTTTGCGGAGAAAATTTAGGGTAAAAACGCAGACGTAAAGTGAAAATGAGGCAAGGTTTTTGGTTGGGTCTTTTTTTCCGAGAACGTCATGGACAAAACTGAGAAGGGAAATAAAACAGGAGACAGGTCTGTGTTCTCGAAGGACAAAGTAATAGTTTTACGTTCTTGAGGTACGCGGTGCCAGCTCAACAGACGTCATGTTGAGTTTTTTAGGTTTTGTTGAGCTGTTGCAGGAAGACAAATAGAGAAGTGCTTAAAATGGCAGATTGTGACAGATCTATAATCAGAACCATCAGGAAGAGACAACTGAGATTCTTTGGCCTCATAAATCTAATAGATCGAATGGACTTGAGGAAATGCTACTGTGTGGAAAGATATTTTGTTTTAATAGAGGTTTTACGGCCCTCGCAACTGCTTAAGGTCACATGAGCGCCAGAAGATTAGAGGTGTTACAAGAGAGTAACAAACATAAAAAAGAAGAAGGGGAGATAAGGACGACAGATGTTTGATAGGAAAGAAGATGCAAACCACACCGCAGCACCTGCAAACCACCCACGTGGAAAGATAGAGGGAAAGAGAGAA